ACCTCTTCCTCCCTCTTCTGCTCCTCCTCTTCGGCATCAACCACGTTGTGAAGCAGTGGCGTAGCAATTTCCATCACATGCGTGACCCCTTTTAGGTCCCGCATCAGGCAGTCTATCCGTTCATCGCTTGCATCCTCTAGTGCTTTGAAAGATTTGACATAGTCCTCTTCCGCTTCAGCCCCAGTAGCGGTGAGAAAGGGACGGACGACTCCCTACAATAAGAAACAAAATCAATCAGATTGAAGCGACATTTTAAAGCAACTGCGTATTCAAAAGCTTAGTCCTTTAATCTTACCCCACCCGCTTGAATCTCAATGTCTATTTGCTCGTAATCCGAATGGGTGTACCTCTAGACATGCCACCGCAACATCCTAGGAAATTGTTGTTGCACATCCAAACTGTTGCTCCTCCCCCCCCCCCCTCTCCCTTAGCGAAGACAGGGATGGCCTCGTACATCCAAGCCTACATTGTAAAAAAAAAAAACAGTCCATATCATAATTCAAACACATATGTTACAAAAAATATAATAAAAAGCTATTAATATTTACCTACATTGCCCATGGGAAGCCAAACAAATTGTACGTGCTTGGTTTATCCTTCCCCTCCCATTGGGTCTGCTTTAACGCCATGTCTACTTTTTTCAGGCTGTTGATGGTTCGCTCATATGATTTCAGTCCCCATGGATAAGAATTAAAGAAGTTCAAGTTGCTTGCAGACAATAACCAATCCTTCTCAACAACTTTTGTTGAGTTACCAGCCAATAAGATCGAATGTAAAAACAAAACCAAGCACACTTTTTTCTTCTCTGTATCAGTAAATTCAACTGTTTCTAGCCTATTCTCTAATACCTGTGTTGTAATAGACTTATCCCCCTGCAAAACCTTATTATAAAACTGTCTGGCTCCCCGACTATTCTTTACTGCCTCTGCTTTCTTATCTGGTACTTCCCCACATCCTAAGCCTATCACCAGGGCATATTCCATCATGCCAAAACATAGTGGCTTTCCGCCCACCACAAACCACATTTTTTTTTATTGCATCTTACTGAGTGCAGCAACATGTAATGCACTCCCTACCCCCAAAATGCCTTTTTCTAATGATTTCTGAGTCCTAAAAACCGACCGAAACAAGTATAACTGAAATCTCTTTTACCATGCGTAATTCCATCTAAAATGTTCTGTATTCTGTCAAAAACTTCCCAACTTAACCTGACCGTCACCCTTGCAGGGAAGTAGGGCACCTTATCGCTTATAAGGTCCAACTCGTAGTCTGTATAATTTACGGTCTGCACAATCGATATAAACAAAATGTCACCAACAAAAATAAACCAAAACAACTAATAAACAAAATATCAGCAACAAAAAATTACCACTGTGGTCGCTTAAGCGATTTCAGATCGCTTAAGAGATCTTGACTCTGCCTCATGCAAGATCGCTTAAGCGATTTGAAATCGCTTAAGCGACCAAGAGTAAACTGAAAGAATCTCTTAAGCGACACAAACGATCGCTTAAGTGATCTTATATCTATGATTCTTCCTCGAAAACATCGCTTAAGCGATCTGAAATCGCTTAAGCGACCAAAAGTAAACTTAATCAATCGCTTAAGCGATATAAAGGATCGGTTAAGCGATCTTAGATCTAGGAAGATGGAGTAAAAGAGGTTAATCGCTTAAGCGACAGTTCAGAACGTACCCTTGCTTCGGCGGCCTGCTTGTTCACGCCAGCCTCCTCCTCGTCACCTAAATCTTCGGAAGACTCTTCCTGGCCTGAATTCTCGCCGGAATCCTCCTCCTGGCCTGAATTATCGCTTGACTCCTCGTCTTCAAAACCGTTTGCCGATTCTTCCCTCTGTTCTTGTGCCGTCGGCGTCTCCTCTGCCTGTCGACCACCTTCACTGATCGGATGATCCACCGAAGCAGCCATTGAACTGCTTCCGCCACCAAAATCTAGGATTCAAAGTGGCGTTGGGTTTTCCTCGTCATTGTGAGTGTCAGCCATGGTTTTGGATTGAATTTGGTGTGAAATTTTGTAGTTTGGATCAGAAATGTGGGCTGTATCGCCGGAAATCGCGCAGATTCCGTTTACGGTTCAAGAAATCGATTTTAGGGTTCAAGAAATCGATCAAAAATCGTGACTTATCACCAAAAATCATGACTATATTCCGTTTAGGGTTCAAGAAATTGAGTTTACGATTGAATATGGTATGGAAATTTGCGGGTTCGATCGAAAATCACAATGTCTCCCTTTGGTTCAAGAAATCGCTTTTTGCTTTAATGAATTTCGATTAAGTGAGGTGAATAGTTAGTGGGGCTTCTTTTGAGAAATTTCAAAATTTAAAACTTTTATTATTTCTTATTCAACCCACATATGTTTTAATATTTTCATTTTAACCCATTTTACGTGTTTAGTTAATCCTAACTATGCCAAGTCATCTTCTCTAGACTCTAAATTAAAATAAAACATGAAAAACAGTTTCAAGGCGATTTTCTTAAATCGAAGCTTGGGATGGTCGGGCAGCTAAAATTTCTCCCTTTTGCTCTACAAAACCCTCGCCTCCTTTTGCCTCACTTGCTCACCGATTGTCACCCTTAAAGCTTTTCTGTCTTTTCCTGGAGCACCTGTCATGCCCCAAGAGAAGGAGAGCTGGGAATGGTTGGGGGATGATGGAAACCTAGAAAAACACCCACAATCAGTCTAACAAATGCAACAAAACACTCCAATAGCAACAACCAACACAAAACTACAAAAAAATAAGCCTCCAAATAGATCCAAAACAAGCAAAATCGCAAAAGCCCAATGGCGAGAAGGCAGCATTTCACGACTAACGTTCGAAGGGAAACCAGGTGACGGGGTTTGAGGTGATTTGTAGAGTGGAGGCCGGCAGTTAAGAGGGTGGTGGAAGATTTGATTTTGGCCCGTTGGATTTGGTCGGAATCTGACTTAGAAAGACAGGAGGTGGCCGGCCAAAAAATGGTTGGTGACAGCAAAAACGGTGGAACCTAGGCTAATTCGAGGTGGGAAAGGGTTGGATTTGCGAAACGGAGTTGATTCTAGAAATGGATACAAATGGGGCATTTCTTAATTAGAATTCCGGGACTGTATGGTGTAAGGTCAGTAATTGCATGATGTAATTTAGACTTCTGCAAAGTTGAAAAAATAATTTAGTGCCTCTACTTCAAAAGTGATCCCTAAGAGCAAATTCTGGAAAAAGTCGTTGAGTACAAAGATGAATCTGTAGAAACCCTTCCTGTAAAGTGAAGAAAATAGACATGTAACTGAATAGTTTAAAGATAATCTTTTTATTTCTATCAATTATACATTTTCATGGGGGCAATATATACAAACTTGATATCGGGGGTGGAATCTTGAAGGAACGTACGACTGCTTAACCCTCAATCACTTGAAGAGTCCTTCTTCACCTTAATTGTGGGGTGCAATTCTCTTCACAAACATTATATGTATGTGTATATGTAATGCAATAAACATTTAGATGTATGAGTTCTGTATTTGTCAGATTTGTGTTGTAGATTGGTAGTACCATGACTCGAGGCAAAACATACAGTCAGGCCAATGAGAAGGCCCGCCTAGCTTTCAGTTTAATTCACCACAAATTAATGCCGGGTCTCTCCTAGACATGAAATGGACATTATACATGGAAAATAGAGAAAAAAAATTATCACGTGTCAATATAGTAGTAGTTGCCATGGTATTCTGGGAACATGAGTATCAGTTTATCAATTGGTAGTCTCTTCACACTTTGCATTTCCATTTTTGCATCCAGAAAGGGATAGAAACGGGTTAGCTAGGAAGGCAGGCAGTAGCCTCTATAATTGTAGACAAGTTTTTGATGACAGGAAAGTGGAGACTGTTAAAGGTACTATTATGGATTCTTTTTCTGTTGCATAAGTGTCATACCTTATTTACACGAAACTGCAATTGTCTCTCAGATCAGTTTAGGGAAGAGATACTCAGGGAAGATATAGTTGGTATTTTTATATTTCATTGCTTTAGCTTTCTGTGGTGCTTCAACTTTTCTTTTTGTACTGACCAATCTGAAACCTGACTTGACAAAGCAACTTGCATACTTTTTCTCTATCCGATTCACCTGTAGAAATAAAAATTGTGGGAACGAAGAAGACAATTTCAGTGGAGGCAATTAATTAGTTAGTTAATGGAGGTCACAGTCCATGACGAATTTGGTTCTTCAGACTTTTATTTAATGGTAAGAGTATCAATGTTGGGGAAAAGGGATGGAATATGATCCCATATGAATCACTTAGGGAGGTAGAAGTTTTTAGCCGTAGAAATTTTTAGCCAAGTGATGGCATTAACAATGACATGGGTGGAGAAGAATAGCCAGCTTGTTTCTTGATCCCACTTGTTTTGTGGACACAGCCAGATACTGCTGAAGTTCTGGCACCAGCTTTTCTTTGCCCTTCCAGTGCTATTATGTGATTAAGTTACAACCAAATTCCAGTTGGTCAAAAAATGTATTGTAAGATCCTGTAGCAAATGAATCATTATCATAACTGTGTGGTCAAGATCTATTTTATTTCTTATTTATCTTTATTATTTGTCAACCGCAAACTGAAAATATGCTCAACTTTATTATATCCTGATTGATGGTTTACTGTAACTTCTTCCTTTTGTCATGTATGAGTTGTATTTAATTTATGTATCACATTAGCTTTAAATTTACTATACTTTTCTAGGTGACCATGGTTCACACATGAAATCTCTTACATCATGGAACAATATCTGTTGTAAAGATTTGGATTAATTCTTACAAGAACATAATCAGTTTGTGTGTTCATAACAGATAGTGGCTGTCACAATCCATGGAAGAACCAGAATATGATTCATTAAGCTAATATTTCCAGAACATAAAGGGTATCTCAAAGAGCGTGGCCAAAAGGTAAGATATGACTTGGACACGCAATTTATGCCTTTGAATCTTATATAGTATCATGGAAGCGAAAGTGGACTTAGTATTTCTATATAAAGGAGAAGTGTAACAACCGTGAGATGTGAGAAAAAGAAGTCTAGAGTTCTTTACATAGAGAACAAGTTTCCTACTCTAGGCTAAGCAATGTCTGGCTATGGTTACAATTACAGAGGGAACTCCGGGTACAACGGTTTAGGGCCTCAGACTGATACATGGAGCAAGCCAAACAGCTATGCCTCAGATCATGTCTGTAAGCCAGTCATTGTTGATGCTGAGGGGAGGAAACATCCAATCGTTTACAATCCCGACTATAACACAGGTTCCTGTATTACAAAAACTGAAACAGTTGTGCAGCAGGTTCATTCACCTTTCAGCAGTGACCACAAACATAGCTCTCCGACGAAATTTGAGTATGAACCAGTGAAAGAGTACGGTTATGGTGAGAATCAATGGCATAAGCCGACAACTGACTACGGATATGGTGAGAATAAGTGGCATAAGCCTTCAACTGGTTATGGATATGGTGATGATAAATGGCGGAAGCCTTCAACTCCAGTTCATGATCGCCCGCAAAAGGTGGAGGAATTCCTCACCAAGTTGCAAACTGAAGCTAGTGGACCAAGGTTTAGCCCCTTGAGTGTTTCACATTGGCGCCAGACTCCTACCACAGGTAATTATGGGAATACTGGTTATGGTGATTATCGGAATGAGAACTATGATGACTATCACAGGAAAAATGGTATTGGGACAGAACCAACTATGATCACCAGTGGTGGATGGTCGAGGCCAAGCCGTACAGGATGGGCTTCTCCACCAGATACTTCACTCTCCAAACCGACAAATGACATCGGTGCAGCCATGGAGTATTTGACAGAAGTTGCCAAACCTACTACATTCACTACTTCTCCATATTCCACCACCTCTCCATATTCCGCCACCTCTCCACATTCCAGGGTCTCTGTGCCTATCTCATCAGTGTCAAAAAGAGATGACCGTACTGAAATCATTGACAGCCGGGAGGCATCAAGGCGGTATGGCAACCTCAATTCACCATCTTATCCCGTAGAATCGTACACAAACACCATTGATAGCAGGGAGGCTGCAAGGAGGTACAAAGGCACATCTCTGTGAAAGTAATATTAATACATGACTATATCATTGTGTCATGGTTTGTAAGTCTATGGGTCTGTTTTCTTCCCTTTTTTTTTCCAAATTCGAAACCTATCTGTCGTAGCAGCTAAGTTGTGGTAAAGGCTTGTTTCTAATATCAGTTGTAAAATAAGCTTTCTTATGAAGCACTTGCAATAAATTAATGGAACATTTTCCCTTTGGTGAATTCTGTCCATATGATTGCTTTCTTCTATGTTTTTAGCTTTAAGTTTGTTTTCTGTCATCAGGTTATGGTAATTACTTTCTCAGGAAACCCATAAAAGATTATATTGAATACATTTTCTAGTTTCAATAAACCAAAATTTGACATAACTTCCTAGTGAATTAAGAGTATTTCAGAATCATAAAGCTGTTCTTCTCTAACCCAAATCAAATTCATTCTTACCTTATGTAGATTAGAGTTCTTCCTGAAACTTTCAATCAGATCGTTTTCCATTGATTATGTTCCAGTTTCTTCACGTACTGCCTCATTCAAATCCAGACACTTTAATTATTCCTACGTCTGGTTAGCACACCTATATTAAACACTCCTGCTTTCAGTTACCATTCTAAAAAGTTATCAGAAGCACAAATGACATAGTATTATTAATAACATATTTAAAACACCAGCATTAATAAAACTAAAATTCAAAAGAAATACTATTCAACTTATAAGCTACATTATCTCCCTATATACGTAGGTTTAGTGATCTTTTTCAATTGCATACTCCTTCACTCCTGCACCCAACACTTAGCTACCTTGAGAACTCATGCTTCCAACATCAATCTCATTCAAGTAGGGCTCATTGAATCACCACTTTTCCTTGAAATCTGGTTTCATCATCAACCTCATCCAAAAAGAAAAGACTGATTTGAATGACCACTTTTTCGTAGAAATCTTATACTAGAAAAAATACATTCTAACTTCCTGAACTTACTAAAGTCCAAGCACTTTGATATCTCAGCACCATGACAAATGCTCTTCCTAAGAATCCGTAATTTTTTCTTTTCTTTTATGATAATATGAAATCCAAAAGAGGAGAAAATGTGAAGTACATGGATTGATGTGAAAGAATCGCCTCAACAAAATGGTGTTTGCGAGAGGAAGAATCACACTATTTTGAATATGGTGCGAAGCCCTGTTTACAAGAAGCAAGATTTTGAAGAATTTATGGCTCTAAGCAGTCAGTTGGAGCACTCATATTTTAAATAGAAGTTCCACTCTTGCTGTTCAAAATACGACCCCAAAGGAAGCATGTAGTGGACGAAGACCAACGGTAGACCATTTAAGAATTTTTGGATGTGTTGCCTATGCCCATATTCTGGACCAAAATGAGAAAAAGCTTGATGACAAAGGAGAGAAATGCATTTTTCTTGGTGTTAGTGATCAATAAAAAGCTTATAAGCTTTACAATCCTAGTACCAAGAAAATTGTAATAAGTCGTGATGTTGTTTTTGATGAAGATCAGACATGATCATGGAGTGAGAATAGTGTTAGACAACATATTCCAGCAGACTTAGATGGTGATAAGAAAATGCAGCAGCCTATGGAGAATGTGCAAAAACTAGCAACCACTCAAAATGTTCCAGTTGATCCTCAAAGCCCTTCAATAGGTGTAGCAAATGATGGTCAATTGGGAGAATAATCAAATACACTAACCAGCACACGTGCTCAACGTAATAGAAAAAGACCAACACGGATGACAGATTATGAGGTGACTAGAATTGACCAATTTGAGGACCTACTTACATATTTTGCTCTGTTTTCAGATTGTGATCCTACCACTTACGAAGTAGTTGTCAAAGAATCAAAATGGCAGAAGGTTATGAATGATGAAATTTCAACAATTGAAAGAAATAACACTTGGGAGTTGACTAATCTTCCAAAAGGGCACAAGACAATTGGTGTCAAGTGGGTTTACAAAATAAAATTGAAGGAGAGTGACGAAATTGGCAAAAAAAGGCGTGATTAGTGGCTAAACACTATAAACAAGAATTTGACATTGACTACAAAGCAGTATTTACTCTGGTTGCAAGACACGATACAATTAGATTGGTGATCACTTTGGCAGCACATAACTCATGGCCTAACTTTCAGTTGGAAGTGAAATCAGCATTCTTGCAGGGTGATTTGGAAGAACAAGTATTTATTGATCAACCTCCTGGTTATGTTAAGATTGGAGATGAGAAAAAGGTGTATAAATGAAAAAAAGGTAATATATTGACTAAAACAAGCTTTGAGAGCTTTGTATAGTCATATAGGTGCTTATTTTTCTAAGGAGGGATTTAAGAAATGTCCATATGAGCATACACTTTTTACAAAAATAGTCAAATTCAACTACCATACACTTTGACTAATGCATTATGTTTTGGGTATAGAAGTTAAACAATTTGGTAGTTGAATTTTTATATCTCAAAAGAAGTATTGGGAGAAATTTTAGATAAGTTTCAAATGAAGAATTGCGATTATGTTAGCAGACCAACTGAAGTGAGTTTGAAGCTTATCAAAGATTCTGAAGGAAGGAGGGTTGACAACACCCTTTTACAAGTAAATTATAGGAAGTTTGATGTATTTGATTGCCACAAGGCCTGATATGATGTATGCCGTAAGTCTCATTAGTAGGTACATGGAGAGCCGGAGATGCATCTTCTAGTTGCAAAGAGAATTTTGTATTACTTGCAAGGTACTGCTGATTTTGGGCTGCTCTACAGTAAGGGAGAAAATTCAGATTTGATGGGCTTTACTTAGAGTGATTATGCTGGAGATCAAGATGATAGAAAAAACACTTCGGGGTATGCTTTTATGCCAGGTTCAAGAGCTGTCTCATGGTCTTCAAGGAAACAACCAATAGTAACTTTATGAATAATCGAAGCTGAGTTCGTAGCTGCAAATTCCTATGCTTGTCAAGCTATTTAGCTGAGGAAAGTTCTTAAAGAGCTACATTTCAAGCAAGAGAGGGCTACCACTGATTATTGTGACAATAGATCAACAATAAAGCTCTCCAAAAATCTTGTTCTACATGGTCGAAGCAAGCATATTGATGTGAAGATCTTGAGGGATCTTGCAAATAATGGAGTCATTAATCTAATATTTTGCAGAAGTGAGGATCAGATTGCTGATATTCTAACTAAGCCCCTCAAATTTCCTACGTTCCAATAGTTAAGAAAGCTTCTTGGTGTCTGCACCTCAGATGATTCTTACTAAACTGATGTTTCAGACAAGACATTCAGTTTAAAGGAGGGGTTGTTGAATTAGTCTTGTTGTTTCCTAGTCAATAGGGATTAATAGATTAGTTTATTGTTTACCTAGTCTTTAGTAACATAGTTTATAGGAATTCGTTCCTAATTTCTTGCTATTAGCCGTTACTTTTAGCCCTATATAAACAGCATTAGTCTAGTATTTTATAATCAAGCAAAGCGATGAAAATTCTAGTTCTTCTTCCTTTTTGTCTTTTTCATTTCTCTATATTTAAATATTCTATCATTTGTAACATAACAATCATTTTCAACATTTCAAAAAAATAAAAAATGAATACACAAAAATGATAAAAAAGCACACCCAAGTAAAGCAACCGGGTTGAAACTTGAAAGTTTGGTACAACTTGGCATAGTTCCTAAAACGACCAACTGTGTTTGAAACAATAGTCCTGAAAAAAATAATTAAACAAAAAGCTACTTTCTTAATCCTGATTTGCTCAAATCTTATTTTCATAATGTCAAAACAAAATAATTACTTAATCTTGCACTAGCAAAAGAGAGTTAAATAACCATATATATATATATATACAAGATTTGACAATTTCCTCACGTATCAACTGAATAGGAAAGAGGGTAAATGACCTCTCCCTCTGTAGCCGGATGACAAGCCCTTTAATTATTGGGGTTAACTATACTCATGAGTCTTATGTTTGAGTGACGGGAGCTTGACAATTATCAGGTTTACCCCAAAAAAAAAAAAAAAAAAAAAAAAAAAAGAGTCCAAATGGCTGTAAAACCTCTTTCCATTGACCAATTTCATATCAGGCAACTTTAGCAATTATTATTTTCATGTTTACTACCATTATCCCTTTTAGAACCTACGGTTTTCGCATGAAGCTCATCCCAATCGACTCAATCGATCCTGTGAACTTCCGGAAAAACCTCACCCTTAAAGAAATACATCAGAGACTTATTGAATTTTGCAAGCCTCACTTTCTTCATGTAACATTCATGGCTTCTGCAAGCGCAGTCAACTCAACAAAAGTGTAGTACATATCCCGAAATTGTAAAGTATCATTAAGAAACGGGAAGAATTATTCCACTGAAAAAAAAAAAAATAGAGAAACAAAGGAGTTTCTTTTAATGGTAAAAAAAGAAGAAGGGAAAGTATCAATAAAATGAATTTTGTTTACATAAGGCATTAGGTTTAATACTTTCCTTTTGGAACTTTAATATAAACTATATTTTCTCCTATAGATTATGATAGCTGCTTCTTACAAATAAGAAGAAAAAATAACATAAAGAGAAGCAACCGATGATTATTGTGAGAGAATTGGAGAAAACATTGGATAAAAAAGATGGTTGTATCATATGAGATTTTTGAAGGTATGCATGATATTAGTTTTCTAATGTTTTATATGATATAGGATTTTTAATTTGAATTTAAATTTTATGATAAGAATTTTGTGGACTTGTTGATTAATAAGAGAAGGGATTCGAATTGTGTTAAGATTGAGGTTGCTGCTTGTTGAAGTTTGAATCCTTCTGGTAGAAGAGTAAGACAGGATGAAGAAGGCATGACCAAAGAATTTCAGTTTTAGATTAAACTGAATTGTAGTTATTTTTGAATTATGAAGTTTAATTTCTCTTAACCGTTGTAAATCAATTAAGTATAGTTATTTAGTTTTATCCTTTTAAAACTATAAAAAAGGGAATGTATTATGTACCAATTGATGAAAAATGAATGGATAATTTTTTTCTTCCTCTTCCACAGTTACAACATGGTATCGGTTTTTTTCTTAAAGGACTTGTGGGAGATGAGTTTGGAAAAGAAGATACTCCAACAGAAGATTGGAAGAGAGCCATTACAACATAAGGTTTGATGGAAAAGAAGACATTCCAGCAGAAGATTGGAGTGTTGAGATTATGGAGCCAAATTCAGTCCAAATTATAGTTGGATTAGGACACTGGTTTTTGTATTTAAGTAGA